ATTGGGCACACACGTCGCCCTCCTCTGGTCACCCAGGTATGGGCCTTACAGTGCGCTGCCTGACCGGAAAGTACTGGTGGCCTACCTTGGCTAAGGATGTGAGGGTGTATGTCTCCTCCTGCTCGGTGTGTGCCCAGAGTAAGGCAGCCTAGGCACCTCCCAGCTGGTAAGTTACAACCCTTACCAGTTCCACAACGGCCATGGTCCCACCTGTGTATTGACTTTGTCACTGATCTTCCCCTCTCTCAGGGTAACACCACCATCCTGGTGGTTGTGGACCACTTTTCAAAAGCCTGCCGCCTCCTTCCTCTGCCCGGTCTCCCCACTGCCCTGCAGACTGCGGAGGTCCTGTTTACTCACGTCTTCCGGGACTACGGGGTGCCAGAGGACATAGTGTCTGACCGGGGTCCCCAGTTTACATCCAGGGTCTGGAAGGCGTTCATGGAATGTCTGGGGGTCTCGGTCAGCCTGACCTCTGGATTTCTCCCCGAGAGTAATGGGCAGGTGGAACGGGTGATCAGGATGTGGGTAGGTTCCTGTGGTCCTACTGCCAACACCGGCCGGGGGAGTGGTCAGTGTTCTTGCCATGGGCCGAATATACCCAGAACTCTCTCTGCCACTCCTCCACTAACCTATCGCCATTTCAATGTGTTTTAGGTTATCAGCCAGACCGAAGCTCCTGCGGTGGATGACAGAGATGACAGAGAGATGTGGAACGCTGCTCACGTCCACCTCCAGCGCACCGTGCGTCGCCAGAAGGCCACCGCAGTGAGGCCCCGGTCTTTGTACTGGGTGATCGGGTCTGGCTCTCGACCTGGAATCTGCCCCTCCGCCTGCCCTGCCGGAAGCTGAGCCTGCAGTTTGTGGGGCCGTTCAAAGTCCTGAGGAGGATAAACAAGGTTACATATAGGTTATTACTCCCTCCAGATTACTGTATTAACCCCTCGTTCCATGTGTCTCTCCTCAGGCCGGTGGTGGCTGGTCCGCTCCAGGAGTCTGAGGTGCGGGAGGTTCCTCCGCCCCCCCTCTGGACATTGAGGGGGCCACGGCGTAATCCGTCCATTCCATCCTGGATTCGAGGCGTCGGGTGGGGGGCCTTCAGTACCTCGTGGAGTGGGAGGGGTATGGTCCGGAGGAGCGGTGCTGGGTCCCGGTTAGGGATATCCTCGATCCCTCCCTATTGCGGGATTTCCACCAGCGCCATCCAGCTCGCCCTGCTCCGCGTCCTCCTGGCCGTCCCCAAGGCCGGTGTCCGCGCGCTGCTGTAGCTGCGCTTAAAGGGTGGGTTACTGTCATGACTTCCTCCAAAGCTGCCTCCTCTCCTTGTTCGGGCAGGCTTTGGCGTTCGTCGTCACCGGCCTTCTAGCCACTGTCGCTCCTCATCTCATAATTCCATTTGTTTTGTCTTGTTTATTACACACACCTGGTTCATGTCCCCTCATCAGTACCTGTATAAATGTTCCCTCTACCTCCTTGTCCTTGTGTGTGATTGTTTATTGTGGAGGTTAGATTAGCTTGGTGGAGCTCCTTGTATTTTGTATCGCCGGGATATTTCCCCGTGTGCCTTGTTGTTTCCAGTGCACCTGTTTTGCGCATTACTGCGTACCTCTGTGTTTGGAATAAATGTTATTCTGTGATTTACCCTCCTGCACCTGACTCCTTTGAAATCACTCACCACACCTTCTTTATTACTTTACCAAACATATCATGACATTAGTGATAGTGAAAATCTGTTAAATCTGTGAATGTCTAAATCAACATTTGGGCCATTTAAACAGCGTGCGTCCCTCCTATGGACAAGGGTGTAAGGGCTATGTAAAGGGCTCGATTATGTCGTTCTTAGCATACGCAATGCGTACTTATTTTAGGTTTAAGGAAGTGTGTAGGTCGCATTCTTTATAGTAGAGCTATGGAAGCATGTATTTAGAACCGCCTGCTCGAGACAATTTAAAAGATTGCTTTGCCATGTCTGTGCCGTGAAGCAGTCAAGCTGGATAAATGTTTTTCTAAGGACCGCCCCTTTGACATAACATTGCGGTGAAGTGATATAAATGGATATAATAATTCAACCGACCACCAGAGGGAGGCAAATACAAGTTTATTCGACAGAGGACGTTTACATGGTCCTAGGATGGTCTGGATGGCTGTCTTCTGACTTATAAAATGGTGGGAAATAAATGAAATAAGTAATGTAAACATATACAGTACCAGTCAAAAGTTTGGACACCTACTCATTCAAGGGGTTTTCTTTGTTTTTACTATTTTCTACCTTGTAGAATAATAGTGAAGACATCAAAACTATGAAATAACACATATGGAATCATGTAGTAACCAAAGTGTTTAACAAATCAAAATATATTTTATATTTGAGATAGTAAGTAGCCACCCTTTGCCTTGATGACAGCTTTGCACACTCTTGGCATTCTCTCAACCAGCTTCATGAGGTAGTCACCTGGAATGCTTTTCCAACAGTATTGAAGGAGTTCCCACACTTGTTGGCAGCTTTTCCTTCACTCTGCGGTCCAACTCATCCCAAACCATCTCAATTGGGTTGAGGTCGGGGGATTGTGGGGGCCAGGTCATCTGATGCAGCACTCCATCACTCTCCTTCTTGGTCAAATAGCCCTTACACAGCCTGGAGGTGTGTTCTGGGTCATTGTCCTGTTGAAAAACAAATTATCGTCCCACTAAGCGCAAACCAGATGGGATGGCGTATCACTGCACAGTGCTGTGGCAGCCATCCGGGTTAAGTGTGCCTTGAATTCTAAATAAATCACAGACAGTGTCACCAGCAAAGCACCCCCACACCATCACACCTCCTCCTCCATGCTTCACTGTGGGAACCACACATGCGGAGATCATCCGTTGACCTACTCTGCGTCTCACAAAGACACGGCGGTTGGAACCAAAAATCTCAAATTTGGACTCATCAGACCAAAGGACAGATTTCCACCGGTCTAATGTCCATTGCTCGTGTTTCTTGGCCCAAGCAAGTCTCTTCTTATTATTGGTGTCCTTTAGTAGTTGTTTCTTTGCAGCAATTCGACCATGAAGGCCTGATTCACACAGTCTTTTCTGAGCAGTTGATGTTGAGATGTGTCTGTTACTTGAACTCTGTGAAGCATTTATTTGGGCTGCAATTTCTGAGGTGCAGTTAATTGCCGATTTCTGAGGCTGGTAACTCTAATGAACTTATCTTCTGCAGCAGAGGTAACTCTGGGTCTTGCTTTTCTGTGGCGGTCCTCATGAGAGCCAGTTTCATCATAGCGCTTGATGGTTTTTGCGACTACACTTGAAGAAACTTTCAAAGTTCTTGAAATTTTCCGGATTGACTGACCTTCATGTCTTAAAGTATTGATGGACTGTCGTTTGTCTTTGCTTATTTGAGCTGTTCTTGCCATAATATGGACTTGGTCTTTTACCAAATAGGGCTATCTTCTGTATACCAACCCTACCTTGTCACAACACAACTGATTGGCTCAAACACATTAAGAAGGAAAGAAATTCCACAAATTAACTTTTAACAAGGCACACCTGTTAATTTAAATGCATTCCAGATGACTACCTCATGAAGCTGGTTGAGAGAATGCCAAGAGTGTGCAAAGCTGTCATCAAGGCAAAGGGTGGCTACTTTGAAGAATCTCAAATATAAAATATATTTTGATTTGTTTAACACTTTTTTGGTTACTACATGATTCCATATGTGTTATTTCACAGTTTTGATGTCTTCACTATTATTCTACAAGGTAGCAAATAGTAAAAATAAAGAAAAACCCTTGAATGAATAGGTGAATCCAAACTTTTGACTGGTACCCTTACATATTTTTAAAAGTAATTATAGTGCACGATTTCGGGGACTGTCAGCTTAAGAGGTTTTAATGCTTGGAGTCTTCACAGATCGCGTGACATAAAACACTACCTTTCTTTCCTTACATTAATGACATTTATGACAGTGTTATTTGTCATTATTAAGCATTTAACAATTGAGCTAGCCGTGCTGCTAATTGTTGCATCCTTCCAATAGAGTTACAGACACTTGTAGAATCTATGCCAAGGCACATTGAAGCTGTTCTGGCCGCTTGTGGTGGCCCAAAGCCTTATTAAGACATTTTATGTTGGTGTTTCCTTTATTTTGGCAGTTACCTGTATATACAACACAGGGAAATCACATTTCTCACTGCACTGGGCCTTTAAGAGGTGTACAAGAATGGCTGTGTTGTGTAACATGTCTTTCTATCAGACTATCAAATATCAAGTTTTATACAGTATGTTAGTCCATGTAAAGTCCTCTGTGATGTGGACGCCGAGGAACTTAAAACTGCTGACTCTCTCTACTGCAGTCCCATTGATTTGGATTGGGGTGTGTTCCATCCTCTGCTTCCTGAAGTCAACATTCAACTCCTTTGTTTTGCTGACGTTGAGGGAGAGGTTGTTGTCCTGGCACCACAATGCCAGTTCACTTACCTCATTCCTATAGGCTGTCTCGTCGTTGTTGGTTATCAGGCAGTATTGCTGCCCCAGTTGCAGTGCAGAGTCAGACAGACTATGAGTAGCTATGGGTGACTTTTGCTAGGTGGGGAGGAGGGAGGAAGGGAGCACGCCACGGCTGACTGAGTGAATCATGCAGCTCTGGCCCACTGGCCATGCCGATGGCTTGGGGCAGAGGATGCAGTAGTAGTCTGAGTCGGACTAGTCATAGTAGCATTGGGCTGCTTATCTGTTCTAGTGTCATCATAACCCATTTAATAATAATAATATAATAATAATATGCCATTTAGCAGACGCTTTTATCCAAAGCGACTTACAGTCATGTGTGCATACATTTTTGTGTATGGGTGGTCCCGGGGAACGAAACCCACTACCCTGGCGTTACAAGCGCCGCGCTCTACCAGCTGAGCTACAGAGGACCACATTAATGCTCTCCTTTCCTCCTGTTTCAGGTGTTTCCTTCGGAGCATGGAGACTCTTTCAGTAATAACATCAACTGCTGAGCTGAGAGAATGAACAGGACGGCCAGCCTATCAGGGGACACCCTGATCACGTGTCACTTCCCCCTGGTGCAACTCCCCCCCTGGCAGCTTCCTGTGCAGACGGCTCTGTGCAGCAGCTCTTCCAAGAGGCCTGGTCGACTGTGCTCCAGCTCCGTGGGTCTGACGCGCACTGCCTCCCTCCCCGAGCAAGACAACCTCCACAGAGAGCCCTTCCACAACAGCCTCAGACATATCTCCTCCAGCTACTGGAGCCTCAAGGAGGACTGGGGCGAGGGGGACGGGGAGGGGGGCAGTGACAGCAGTGGGAAGTGTGACTCTGGATCATCAGAGGAGGAGGCATCACAGATGACCATCTCTCAAAGACATAAAGAATACCCTGTAGTTAGAGGTACTTTACGTCTACACAACTCCTTTCTCCCTAATGAAGGGGTGGATGAAGATGAGGAGGATGACGATAGTGATGGAGATAACCTGCACAGATACCATGAGGACTCCTCTTTTGTGCTGCAGTTGCATGGGAACTCTAACTGGGCCCTGAGTAATGCTGGGAGGCGGACCTCCAAACCTTCTAGCCAATCAGTCAGTCAGAACCATGAAAACAGGGGTAAAACTGTGTTGACGGACTATGGGGAGCAGGAGAGACTGGAGGACGTTGAAGATAATGTGCTAAAATGTGGGTGATGAGGGCTACTACTTCAGCTATGGCCAACCAAAATGTTTCCCTGAGTCTTTCTCTGATGGTCTTCTGGAGTACGTCACAGACTCCTCCTGCAACAGCTCAGATGGGGTTCTCGTCAACTTCAGCGCCATCTACAACAAGAGTAACAACCCTGCCATCCCAAATGACCTCAGCAGTCCTGCAGTGCAGTCATCCCAGCCAGCAGAAGGCTCTGTCTTCCTAAACTTGCAACCTTTCCCCCAGGAGCCCCAGGGTCCTCAGGCTGCTGGCCCCAGTCAGGGGGGCAGAACAATCTCCTCTTCTCTTGACAGGGGGCATTCTGTCCCCTGCTGGTCACCACAGGCGATGGACTCAAACTGTAATGTCTACTCTCCCGACACCCAGGGCCTCCTGTCTTCTCTGGAGGTCTCTGACCTCACTTCCTGTCTCCAGAGCCAGGCCAGGCTGCTGCCCACAGGGACCACCCAGAAGTACTACAAGCTGGTGACCTGTGACCTGTCATCTCAGTCAGCCTCACCCAGCCCAGCCTGGTCCAGCACCACCAGCGTCACCTCAGATGGCCACTACTTCCTCTTCAGTAAGGCCCGAGGAGAGCAGAGCCAGGGGGCAAAACAGGTTGGCATACCACAATGACTTACAGCATGTTTAAAAAGATGCACACCTTTTGTATTTCTTCTTCAGGTTTTGTTTAATTTGTAAGATGTTGTATGATGAGCAGAATTACTTTCATAGCAGTTGACATTCCTGTCAACTAATCCAAATTGTATCTGTTTCTCCATGGCCAGCAGGAAGAAGGCTTAGACAAAGAAGAGAGGAGAGCTACCCCATTGCACCGTCCTCGCTGTATGAGCTGGGACTCCCAGCATGTCACCTTTGCTGAGATTGCCTACTGTAAGAGACATACAGACAGCTGCCAGGGCTCCAGCCACTCCCACACCTCCCAGGATTTGTGTCCCATCCAGGAGGCAGTTTCCCTGGGCCAGAGTAGCATCCACTCCCCCCTACTCCTGAGTCCCAACCAAGGCAGTATCAATGTGTCCTACTACCCTTCTGTGTCAACAAACCATGAGATGGAGGAGGAGGGTAAGAAAACAAACCAGTTGGTATTTTTACATGCGAAATTACGATTCAGCTGATCTACCCTTGTTTTTTCCTTATCTTTAAAACTTTTCATCCCCTCTCCCTCCCTCTCTCCCTCCCTCTATCTCTCTCTCTCTCTCTCTCTCTCAGGGGCATGTTCATGGGCCACTCCTATGGTGCGCTACAGTAAGGCTCAGAGGCCCACCTCCCTGCCCATCCAGCCCTTCGTCCTGCTTCCCCCGGCAGGTAAACCTCAGAGCCAGCCCCTGAGCTCCCTGCTGGACCAGTACATCAGCCACAAGAACACCAAGCCTAGCTTCAGCTCCCAGCCAGGGTCCAAGTGCATAGGCAAAGGCAACAGACTCCTGACCCACCTGCGTCCCTCACCGCTAGGCAGCTATGGAGCCATCCTCCTGGAAGGCCCCTCCAGCTCTGATACCTGCTCCACCTGCACCCCCAGTCCAGAACGCTTCCAGTCCAGACTCAACTGGACACACTCCAGTCCATACAGGCCCCACACTAGCCTTGGTCTCACTTCGACCAGTCCAAAACAAGCGCAAACAAGCACAAAACAATCTCATACCAAACTAACCCAGGCTTATTCATGCCAGGACCAGCTCTATGAAGACCTAGACCAAACCTACCCCAGCCCAGGTCAGGCCAACAGTAGCCCAAACCAGTCTCATTGTAAAGATTCAATCAAACGTAGCCAAGGCATGGCTCAGATCTGCCAAGATCTCATTCGCCTGTCCCCAGAGCAGAAGAGCCTCAACCCATTCCTCCTGACCCACAGCCCTCACTGTCCCATCTCCCAAGTAGCAACCATGTCACCCTCTGACAGTCACATCCATCATCCAGACCTGCTGGTTTCCTCTCCAGACCCACCCTTACTGCCCCACAAGAGAACCCCACTATCCTCAGTCCCTATGGCTGGGTCTGCAGCCTCTCATCGTAGCCTGACAGCTGCTCTCTCATCAGTGGCCCCTATGTCCTCTCTGAGCACCATTCTGCAGCCTCTGGTGTCTGCAGGGCCCAGTGTGAAGCAGCATCAACAACAGCACTGTGACTCCTTCAGCCTGAGTGACAGTAGGCCACCTGTGGAGTTCTGCCTGTCACCTGAAGCCTCCTACGAGTCTCTGTCCATCAGCCACCTGCAGAGGAGAGGTGAGGGCAAGGGAGGGGCTTGATCTATGTATAGGTGATAGAGCATGGATCAAACTGGTCTCAGAGCATTTTGTATTATTCTGTACGTAAATCCGAGACACTCCATTTAGTATGATATGTTAGGTTTCGTATGGTATGTATTCATTTGTGGATGTCCATCAACCATTTCCTATGATATGTTACGAATTACAATTCAATTATATGTTACGAATTTGCAAACGTACAATATGTTACGAATTTGCAAGTCAAAGCCCTGTCTAAGCCGGGGTGGGGGGGGGAGGGGGGGGGTAGGGTTCTACTAAACTATATGGAATTGTTTTAAGAAGGTCATTCCATGGTTCATTTTTCTTTTTTATTAGGAATTTTAAGACCCCTTGAAGTATCAAAGAAATACACACAAAAATTATTTGATTAACATTTTTATTTTGCCTTACTGCTATTAGCCCATACAAACACATTGAATAACAGATTCACTACATGGAACAACAGATAGTCCAAAAAAAAAATCTAAAGGAAGTCATATCTGAGAGATCAGGAAGTCTTTTATTTATTTATTTAACCCCTTACTTTTTTCACTTAAGTCTCCATATATACATTACTTCCATACATTTTTTTAACTGGTACCGGGGTACATTTAGACGAGTTTTGTGAAGCCTGTGGGTGTCCTAGAGCAAAACAACCGACATGTACAGTACTACTCAAAAGTTTGGACACACCTACTCATTCAAGGGTTTTTCTTTATTTTAACTATTTTCTACATTGTAGAATAATAGTGAAGACATCAAAATTATGAAATAACACATATGGAATCATGTAGTAACCAAAAAAGTGTTAAACAAATCAAAATATATTTTATTTTTGAGATTCAAAGTAGCCACCCTTTGCCTTGATGACAGCTTTGCACACTATTGGCATTCTCTCAACCAGATACATGAGGTAGTCACCTGGAATGCATTTAAATTAACAGGTGTGCCTTGTTGAAAGTTAATTTGTGGAATTTCTTTCCTTCTTAATGCGTTTGAGCCAATCAGGTGTGTTGTGACAAGGTAGGGTTGGTATACAGAAGATAGCCCTATTTGGTAAAATACCAAGTCCACATTATGGCAAGAACATCTCAAATAAGCAAAGAGAAATGATAGTCCATCATTACTTTAAGACATGAAGGTCAGTCAATCCGGAAAGTGCAGTTGCAAAAACCATCAAGCGCTATGATGAAACTGGCTCTCATGAGGACCGCCACAGGAAAGGAAGACCCAGAGTTACCTCTGCTGCAGAGGATAAGTTCATTAGAGTTACCAGACTCAGAAATTGCAGCTCAAATAAGTGCTTCACAGACTTCAAGTAACAGGCACATCTCAACATCAACTGTTCAACTGTGTGAATCAGGCCTTTATGGTCGAATTGCTGCAAAGAAACCACTACTAAAGGACACCAATAATAAGAAGAGACTTGCTTGGGCCAAGAAACACGAGCAATGGACATTAGACCGGTGGAAATCTGTCCTTTGGTCTGATGAGTCCAAATTTGAGATTTTTGGTTCCAACCGCTGTGTCTTTGTGAGACGCAGTGTAGGTCAACGGAGGATCTCCGCATGTGTAGTTCCCACCGTGAAGCATGGAAGAGGAGGTGTGATGGTGTGGGGGTGCTTTGCTGGTGACACTGTGATTTATTTAGAATTCAAGGCACACTTAACCAGCATGGCTATCACAGCATTCTGCAGCGATACGCCATCCCATCTGGTTTGGGCTTAGTGGGACAATCATTCGTTTTTCAACAGGACAATGGCCCAACACACCTCCAGGCTGTGTAAGGGCTATTTGACCAAGAAGGAGAGTGATGGAGTGCTGCATCAGATGACCTGGCCTCAACCCAATTGAGATGGTTTGGGATGAGTTGGACCGCAGAGTGAAGGAAAATCATCCAACAAGTGCTCAGCATATGTGGGAACTCCTTCAAGACTGTTGGAAAAGCATTCCAGGTGAAGCTGGTTGAGAGAATGCCAATAGTGTGCAAAGCTGTCATCAAGGCAAAGGGTGGCTACTTTGAATCTCAAAAATAAAATATATTTTGATTTATTTAACACTTTTTTGGTTACTACACGATTCCATTTGTGTTATTTCATAGTTTTGATGTCTTCACTATTATTCTACAATGTAAAAAATAGTAAAAATAAAGAAAAACCCTTGAATGAGTAGGTGTGTCCAAACTTTTGACTGGTACTGTACGTGTTCGGGAGAGTCTCACCTTTACAGAGGGGTCATAGTTAGTGTGAAACCCAAACTGTACGGACGCTACAGACAGTACAGTATCGGCTGTACCGACTTCAGACGAGTCCCAAGAAGCTTGTGGGGGTCGTAGAGCAAAACTGAGTTAAGTTAATGGGGTTAAGGGTGCTTTGAGCTGAGGGCATATAATGTGGATTGTATGATGTGATGTTGACTGTGTGTGATGTCAGCGTATAATCAGAGGATGTGTGTGGTAGGTAGACAGTGTCAGTAATCTAGTGTTATCTCAAGATGGAGAGTAATTAGACTGTTACTGAACAGTTATTATGGGAAACTGGAATCCTACACTGTCTGTTATTCTGTGCTGCTGCTGGGTTCTAAAGAGAGCAGCAGCAGAGCTTGCTGTAGCAGTGCCTTCAATACCCTGAAGGGGGTTTCTTTAAAACATGACCTATTTTTCTCTCCCTGCATTGGATTGGCTGAACCATTTAGTGTGTTTGTGTATGTGTATGTGATTGTGCAAGCTCCAGTGAGTGTTTGTTGCAGTGGGTGCAGTGTTGTTGATACGCTGGATATATGATTCACAGATTTATGTTATTTTAGTGTCACAATACAGACACACATGATTATCACCAAACAATGTAAATGTCAATCACATGCTTGTATGCACATTGTCTTGTGAAAGCGATGCTTGGACAGTGATGTACTGTCCGTTTGGCAGGGGAGAGCATTGTAGGCAGATTCAATATGCATAAAGAACCCTGACATTTTAGAGCGAGCCAGAGCAAGATGGAGAGAGGAAGGGAGGAAGGGTGGAAGGGAGATGAATCATGGATGTTCCCATGTGGTTCTGTATATACACCCTTTTTATTCAGTGTCTGATGTTTCTGTTTAATTAATATAATCTGTTTTATGTCAGTCCCTCAGGCATTTTGATAACCCCCCTGCATGGCACAGAATATGAAATGAGCTAACTCCTGATGTGCTTCTTTCCATGTTTCTCCAGGTTTGCTGAAATCTGTGAGCTTGGCAGTGGATTTGATCATGGCTCATTTTGGCACCAGTCGAGATCCAGGGGAAAAGGTCGAGTCCAGCAGAGCTAAAAGCAATCTGAAGGGAACTAGAATAACCAATTCACAAAAACAGACAGTATCCCTGAATAGGATGAATCAACTCCCATAAATATACAGTACCAGTCAAAAGTTTGGACACACCTACCCATTCAAGGGTTTTTCTTTATTTTTACTATTTTCTACATTGTAGAATAATAGTGAAGACATCAAAACTATGAAATAACACATATGGAATCATGTAGTAACCAAAAGAGTGTTAAACAAATCAAAATATAATTTATATTTGAGATTCTTCAAAGTAGCCACCCTTTGCCTTGATGACAGCTTTGCACACTCTTGGTATTCTCTCAACGAGCTTCATGAGGTAGTCACCTGGAATGCATTTAAATTAACAGGTGTGCCTTGTTGAAAGTTAATTTGTGGAATTTCTTTCCTTCTTAATGCATTTGAGCCAATCAGTTGGGTTGTGACAAGGTAGGGGTGGTATACAGAAGATAGCCCTATTTGGTAAAAGACCAAGTCCATATTATGGCAAGAACAGCTCAAATAAGCAAAGAGAAACAACAGTCCATCATTACTTTAAGACATGAAGGTCAGTCAATCTGGAAAATGTAAAGAATTTTGAACGTTTCTTAAAGTGCAGTCGCAAAAACCATCAAGCGCTATATAATATATATATATATAATAATATGCCATTTAGCAGACGCTTTTATCCAAAGCGACTTACAGTCATGCGTGCATACATTATTTTTATTTTTTTATTTAACTTTTTTGTGTATGGGTGGTCCCAGGGGATCGAACCCACTACCTTGGCGTTACAAGCGCCGTGCTCTACCAGCTGAGCTACAGAGGACCGCTATGATGAAACTGGCTCTCATGAGGACCGCCACAGGAAAGGAAGACCCAGAGTTACCTCTGCTGCAGAGGATTAGTTCATTAGAGTTAACTGCACCTCAGATTGCAGCCCAAATAAATGCTTCACCGAGTTCAAGTAACAGACACATCTCAACATCAACTGTTCAGAGGAGAATGTGTGAATCAGGCCTTCATGGTCGAATTGCTGCAAAGAAACCACTACTAAAGGACACCAATAAGAAGAAGAGACTTGGACATTAGACCAGTGGAAATTTGTCCTTTGGTCTGATGAGTCCAAATTTGAAATTTTTGGTTCCAACCGCTGTGTCTTTGTGAGACGCACAGTACGTGAACGGATGATCTCCGCATGTGTGGTTCCCACCGTGAAGCATGGAGGAGGAGGTGTGATTGTGTGGGGGAGCTTTGCTGGTGACACTGTCTGTGATTTATTTAGAAATCAAGGCACACTTAACCAGCATGGCTACCACAGCATTCTGCATCCCATCTGGTTTGCGCTTAGTGGGACTATCATTTGTTTTTCAATGACCCAGAACACACCTCCAGGCTGTGTAAGGGCTATTTGACCAAGAAGGAGAGTGATGGAGTGCTGCATCAGATGACCTGGCCTCCACAATCCCCCGACCTCAACCCAATTGAGATGGTTTGGGATGAGTTGGACCGCAGAGTGAAGGAAAAGAAGCCAACAAGTGCTCAATATATGGGGGAACTACTTCAAGACTGTTGGAAAAGCATTCCTCATGAAGATGGTTGCGAGAATGCCAAGAGTGTGCAAAGCTGTCATCAAGGTGGCTACTTTGAAGAATCTCAAATATAAAATATATTTTTATTTGTTTAACACTTTTTTGGTTACTACATGATTCCATGTGTTATTTCATAGTTTTGATGTCTCCACTATTATTCTACAATGTAGTAAATAGTAAAAAAATAAAGAAAAACCCTTGAATGAGTAGGTGTGTCCAAACTTTTGACTGGTACTGTATGTTATTATATTTTTTATTAAAGTGTAATTATTGATCATGATATGATAATGTCCCACTTCTCTCCAGATCCGGCTAGGGAACAGTTCTAGGAGTCCCACCATTGGTGGTCTAGTCCTGGAGCATTTGTGTCCCACCATCCAGAACATTCTGCAGGATGGCCTCAGGGACCACAAACTGGACCTGATCATCGGTCATCGACGCAACCACGCCTGGAATGTGGTGGATGCCTCTACTCAGGCAGGTGAGAGACACATGGTGGTGATGATGGTAATGATGATGATGAGGATGGTGGTTGTGGTAGGTTTGATGCTGATGATGGTACGACTACAGTGCTGCAGTTGCTAATGGGGGTTGTAGTTTAATGGTCTCTGTTCCTGTCTAAGGCCCTACCACCCAGGTGCTCCACAGCCTGCTGTCCAAGGTGAGGCAGTGCTCCCTGCTGACCAGCCACTGTATGAGACTACGAGCCTTCATCATGGGCCTGCTCAAGTGAGTCCCTGTCAAGTCTCAGACAGTCTTTTTTAGTATATCAAATTGTGTTCTAATGGTGATTTATGAAATGTTATTATTGTAAAATTAGGGACTTATATTCTCTCTTTTAGCTTGAGGGCCTTGGAATTCTGGATAAATCACCTCTACAACCAAAAAGGTATGTGTTTAGATTAAAGGACAGGCTCTTTTTTTAATTTCTCCAAATTGTTATTAGAAAACATACTGTTCTTAGAACGTACCTCTCTCATACTCTTTCCAACTCTCCTCTCCCCAGACAAGGTGACAGCTTACTACCATCCATGGGGTTTCCTCGCCATGTCACATGGGCAGTGTCAGCCTATGTTCCAGGAGCTCCTCCTCCTGCTGCAGCCTCTTTCCATGTTACCCTTTGACCTCAACCTGCTGCTGGAGCCCCGCCTGCTGAACAACAGACAGCTCTGCTCCAGGGAACAAGCTCCACCATGCTCCACCTTTCTCATGACCAGTTGGCCCCTGTTGAGAGGAGACAGAGGAGACAGACAGGGGGCATATGGCTCTATGGATGGACCCAGAGATAACAGCAGGCCACCAGGTGACCCACACCAGCTGGTACAGCATCTTCAGGGGTCCACCCAGGGGTCAAAGGTCATGGGTCAGGAGAAGTGGGCGAGGCATTTAGGCAAGTCTAGCAGGAGCCTGTGGTCAGCCACCAGTCCAGGGTGGTGGCAGAGACGGCCTGCCCACGCAGAGGGGGTGGTGGAGGGGGGGTGGAGGGGTGGAATATGGACAGATTTACATGGATGTCATCCACCCTGAGCCTCAGCAGGAGATGGAAGGGAGGATAGAAGAGGAGAGTTCACAGGAGGGCAGGAGGGAGGGAACTGGGCTGGAGACCCCCAGGATGCAGGCAGACACCCAGGATGAGAGCCTCTCCCAGGGTGGGCTACGCTGGGCCAAGCTGTTTGGAGCAGCAAGGAATCCCTCTACCAGGACACAGAGGGCACCTCAAAACCTCAATGGGACACAGACCCAGAAAAGGTCAGAATTACTGAACTGAACTATGGCTAACCTGTTCCTATGGTGTTATTACAGTTCCTCCTTAATAACTGTATTTCTCTTGTCTTGAAGGAGACCTTCACAGTGGCTGCAGTTGGACAGGTCTCAGCTGGGCCTATTGGCTCAGACAGTGTGGTCAGGGAAACTCCCAGCTCCACAGCCTGACCAGAAACACCAGACATAGACATGGTGCCCCAGGACCACACTCACCCAACCCTCTGATGAGTGGAGAGGGGTAGGGAAGAGAAGAAAAGATACACTACCAAAAATCTCAACCGCATGATCCTGAGTCAGTGTTGTAGTGCACAGTGTTGCACACAGACACGTAAGCTAGAACACACTCACACTGATCAGAAAAGCACATTAGAACAATTGAACATACAAACTATCGGAGCATGGGTAATACTTTTTGCTATGTTATTATTAGGCAATAACAACTCCCCCCATGTACTATTAGATTTACAAGTGCTTCTGTTCATCTGTCATGAATTGGGATTTATGCAATAGATTCTCCCTGTGAACCTGTCAATCAAACTATGTGGTCAGAGAGGCTCCTCCAACGTTAGGGTCTTGCCTTAGGATCTGAAAGCCTTGTACACCATCCCAGACTCTGCAGAAGAAACCAATTAGTGTGTAATGGAGCTGCATGCATACCATACAGTAGCATCCTATTCTCCTAATAGTATCAATCTGATCCTCTACCTTCCAACCCCTACACTGTGACTATCCTATGTGCGATTGGAAGGACAACAAAGAAATGCAGAAAGGCAATCTTTACTAGCCATGTTTACTAGTGCCACATATTATGCCAGTCAGCAGCCTTGTGCAGTGGCTTATCTTCCAAAAGGAGGTTGCCTTCACATTCAACTAGACAAAGTTAATACATGTTTATGAGGTAATCCCGACTGTAGCATGGTAAGATTTCTGTGCATGTGTAAAAACAAATGTTCAATGAGTCATTAGGTGCTAATTTAGGCCTACTACTGTGTGTGGTTGTACTACCTATATCAATATCCTGTTATACTGTTTTTTTAAATGAGAGAAGTAGAGTTTTGTAAATATTTAGGTAAGCAAATTCTAGATTTGTGGCACTGTTAGGTGTTGTTTGCACAATATAAAGCTATCATGTTGTGTTTCAGGTGTACACTGTTTTGATAGGCCAGTACTACTAAGCTAAGGAGAAAGAGAAAGGCAAAGTCTGAATTTGCGTGACAGGAATGACTTGGTTATTATAGACCTCCCGAGTGGCGCAGTGGTCTAAGGCACTGCATCGCAGTACTAGCTGTGCCACTAGAGATCCTGGTTCGAATCCAGGCTCTGTCGTAGCCGGCCGCGACCGGGAGACCCATGGGGCGGCGCACAATTGGCCCAGCGTCGTCTAGGGTAGGGGAGGGAATGGCCGGCAGGGATGTAGCTCAGTTGGTAGAACATGGCGTTTGCAACGCCAGGGTTGTGGGTTCGATTCCCATGGGGGGTATGAAAAAAACAAAAAACTGTAAGTCGCTCTGGATAAGAGCGTCTGCTAAATGACAAAAAAAGTAAATAATGTGAAAGTGAGTTTATCATAACCCCTTCTCATATTTCCTTCCCAACCTAACTGTCCTTCCTCTTAGAAGAATGCACCCTCTATGAGTGTAAATTCCCTGTGACAAACAACCTTTACGAATAAAAAAGTATTGATTTATCTTGTGACTTATGTTTCACATTCACTTGTACAGTAGAAGAAAAAAAAATATATATATATCGCTAAATACAGGAGAAGCAGCCTTCCACTGCCCATATTTGCAGTATGTACCTGTTCTGTTCATATAAAAAAATCAGGCATTATTATTTTTCACTCTGGGATGTACATAGTCCACAGACCAAGGTTTTGCTGTTCCACAGACATATGCATTTATTTAAAAGTCCTTGGATTCATCACTCAAAACAACTCCACGATGTGTTCTCTACCCTAGTTCTTTATTAAGTCATGTGATTGTCTTGTGGATTGTACCTCCGTTACTGGGCTCTGGCCTCTAGCTTCCTCTGAGTGCCGCTCAGCCCCAGGGCATTGTGGGTAAGCTGCCCAAAGGTCTGGCCGTACCTGAACTTGTATCCTGTGGGCAGATTGAAGGTAAACTTAACTGAAGATCTCAAAATAATATTATAGTTAAGCAATAACATTATAGTAACATTTGATCTACCAAGTGATGATATGATACATTTTTAAACAAAATATGGATATTTCAGAGCTGTGTGTGAGGCTTCGTACTATATAGTGTTGTGATGAGGTTTAGGCCCACCTGGAACATGGCCGGTGTAGGAGGGCAGCAGGCCCCGGTGGGACGGGTAGACTGTGGGGATGGGGGGCAGGACTCCTGATTCGTCCCCAGGGAGGCGCAGGGAGGTGGGGTCACTCCTCATCTCCTTCCCAAACTGGACCAGGGCCTTGTTGGTGGTGATGGGATAGCCCGTGCCAATCAAGAAGCGAGATTTGGGCACGTACCCCGTGAAACCTGAATACATGCCCCAATGGAAGATCTAGTCAATACAGAGACTCATATACATTTGATTGTGCTGCACACTCATACACTACATGGCCAAAAGTATGTGGACGCCTACTCGTCAAACATCTCATTCCAAAATCATGGGCATTAATATGGAGTTGGTCCCCCCTTTGCTGCTACAACAGCCTCCACTCTACTGGGAATGCTTTCCACTAGATGTTGGAACATTGCTGTGGGGACTTGCTTCCATTCAGCCACAAGCATTAGTGAGGTTGGGCGCTGATGTTGGGCGATTAGGCCTGGCTCGCAGTCGGCGTTCCAAATCATCCCAAAGGTGTTCAATGGGGTTGAGGTCAGGGCTCTGTGCAGGCCAGTCAAGTTCTTCCACACTGATCTCGACGATCCATTTCTGTATGAACCTCTCTTTGTGCATGGGGGAATTGTCATGCTGAAACAGAAAAGGGCCTTCCCCAAACTGTTGCCACAAAGTTCGAACCACAGAATCGTCTAGAATGTAATTGTATGCTGTAGCATTAAGATGTCCCTTCACTGGAACTAAGGGGCCTAGCCCGAACCATGAAAAACAGCCCCAGACCATTATTCCTCCTCCACCAAACTTTACAGTTGGCACTATGCATTGGGGCAGGTAGAATTCTCCTGGCATCCGCCAAACCCAGATATGTCCATCAGACTGCCAGATGGTGAAGCGTGTTTCTTCACTCCAGAGAACGCGTTTCCACTGCTCCAGAGTCCAATGGCGGCGAGCTTTACACCACTCCAGCTGATGTTTGGCATTGCGCATGGTGATCTTAGGCTTGTGTGCGGCTGCACGGCCATGGAAACCCATTTCATGAAGCTCCCGACGAACAGTTCTTGTGCTGACGTAGACCTATGACGGTGCCGCGTTGAAAGTGACTGAGCTCTTCAGTATAGGTCATTCTACTGCCAATGTATCTCTATGGAGATTGCATGGCTGTGTGCTCGATTTTATACACCTGTCAGCAACGGTTGTGGCTGAAATAGCCTAGTTATTTAAAATGGTATGTCTGGCATACTGTACCGACCTGAGATGAAGTACTTGTGTGGACTGCTGTCCTCCATGAAGTACGGAGACACTTTGGGCTTCCAGGGGTCCAGGGCCTCGTAGGGGGCTGGATCTTTGGAGATGGCCGTCAGAGGGGTGCTCAGTCTCCGAGGCTGAAGGGGATAGACAGAATGACAGACAGACAGACACTATGGTTGAGACAAAGAAGGTATTCAAGCTTCTGGCTCCTACCAAAGGCCCTATCCCAGACTATAGACCTTTGATTATAAGAGGATAAGATTTTCTCGCATGGTATCAATGTAAAGTTGTTATCATTCAATCAACATAAGTGGCTAACAGTAATTGCTTGTGTTATTGAACATTCCTGTCAGCTCCTACACAATGAGAGATAATGGGTGTGAATCTCAGAGACTTAATTGGTCTGAATCTGTGGGTGGTCTATGATTGGAGAGCTCTCCAGGTTGTGCAGCTGGCCTCGTTTAGACTGAGACAGTGAGTGATAAATGACACTGACAGTGACACAGGATCTCAGCATGGATTATTAAACAGGGATGTGTGTGTGTGTGTGTGTGTGTGTGTGTGTGTGTGTGTGTGTGTGTGTGTGTGTGTGTGTGTGTGTGTGTGTGTGTGTGTGTGTGTGTGTGTGTGTGTGTGTGTGTGTGTGTGTGTGTGTGTGTGTGTGTGTGTGTGTGTGTGAGAGAGTGCATGTGTACGTGAGAGAGAGATTAGAGCTGATTACTTTAAACTCGGAATTGGTGGTGTTGCTGACAAGCGGTATGTCTGCTGATGCCAGACGAACCCTCCTCTGCTGGTCTCGGTCAAACTCAGACAGGGCCTCGCGACACGTCTCAGCGTAGGTATGGGAGAAGTAGTTCTGGCTTTTGGGGACAAAGCCTGCAAAAGACACCAGAGTACACAATGCAAAAGCATACTTTACAGATGGAAGAGATGAGGGAGTTCTACTTAATGTATGAAAACTGAGTAACAGTGTGTTTACCAGTGTAGCCCGGTATCATCCTCTCCAGATTCCTGCATTCTCCATGGTGGCTCCTCCAGTTCTCGTCCCGCGGGCCGGTGTCTGTCTCTGTGGAGGGGAAGCGGCCCGTGTGGAGGACCAGGCGATGTGAGCGAGACACCTCTGGAGAGGACAGCAGTTTGGCAGTCAGCTGGCCGTAGGTCTTCCCCAGGTGGTACTTCAGCTGGGGGCAGTAACCTGCATACCTGAGGACAGAGAGAGAGAGAGGTGGTGGTTGTGGTGAGGATTGTAATTAGATTTCAAACAGGCCTTTTTGGATTTATTCTCTGTCATGTTGACAGTAGGCCTAGTGTAAATATTTGAACCCCCCTTTTTTTTTTTTTTACAACGCTTGTATCAAAGTCTTTATTGAGGTGAAAGGTGACTGTATGGATCTCATGGTAGTTAGTTTAAGCTGTGTTGTGTTCCTTCATGTCAGGGAGTTTAGCCTCTGAGTTCAACCTTCCTGGGAACGGTTGCCATGGGTGATGGCCACCACAAAATACTTTTGGCCTCGAGCACTGGACTTTCTTGCTCATGGAAATTTCGTGTAGGTTTGTTAAATTGTTTGTGTTAATTCCTCAAGCCTCTAGTTGGCCGAATGTATGCATGCTATGTGTAAAGACATAAAATGGCGAAATATAATGAAGTAAAATGTAAAGGTATGCGCAAGCATATAATCAATGGAATTACGCACGAATACAATAATGCATCATTAAAAAGGTTTATAATTTCACTATAAATAGCACACCATGCAGGTAATACAAATAACATCTCAATATAACACACATCTAATTAGAGTGTATATTTAATGAATTAATTTGCTGAAATTCAAAAGCAAAGTGTTAGTTTCAATGTGAATTACCTACCCCGGTATGTACTGCGGATCTGGCGTCACCAGCACCTTGCTGAATTTTGGGGGGAATTCCTCCATGTTGACCGCACACTGTACCACTGAACACGGAACTCGAGATGCACGCCGGACAGCAGCCAAACTTTGCAGTTCTGTGTTTGTGGATGGTTGGCAGGTGGAGAGGATGCGGACAGCGCGAAGAGATATTTCTGCGTCTAGACCAGGTCAAGGATCCATTATTCTGTCATTGTTGGCATTGTGAGGTAAGACGGTCACCTGCGCGCCTTTTGCCCCCAACATTCTAAAGCTTCTTGTTGTTGTTGTTGTTGTGGTTGTGGTTGTTAAGTACTGTACTGTAGGCTACAGCTTGTTCCTTCAGTCCGCAGTGGCAAATAAGCACCGCCGTCACACATTCCCATGCACCTTATGGTCAAACAGGTGTAAAGTGTCATTGTAATAAACACTAGCCTACCAAATATTTACGTTTCACATATTCAATAGTTGTATTTGATTATTTTTATTTTATTCTACAGCCAGAGTTGTTTTTACACTAGCCCTCCTGGTTTTGTGTTTTAGCCATCTCACATGTTTCCCCCACTTTTTATTATCATATCTTATATTTTCCTATGGGAAAAATAGATACATAAATTAATTGATTAATTAATTGTTCATTTTGAAAGAAAATTACATATCTGAAAGGATATACAGTTTATGTGGCATGAAATAGCGACACCTGGTCAGTTAAAGCAGCATTGCTGCATTGGCTGGGATATTTCCCTGAGCCTATATTTCCTGGGCCACTCAAACTACTCCTCTTCTGAACTGCATCATAATCTAGCTGTGGAAGACCGTCTCCCATGAACTGCCAGCACCCTGAATTTGAATAAATATATAATATTATAAGGTGTTCACAGTAAAGCTGTGAAACTTATTGTTGTTCTTGTAATTGTTTTCCCTTGACATGGTCAAATAACTCAAGCATAGATTGGTAACTTTTTACTAATTTGGCACACAGAAACTAGAGGCTCATATCCACTGCCCAGTTTGACCTACAGACTTGAAACGTTGTATGTAGGTGTCTTTCCTCATAAATAAATAATATGCCATTTAGCAGACGCTTTTATCCAAAGCGACTTACATTCATGTGTGCATACATTTTTACGTGCTCATGCTGAACAAATTAGCCTCAAGGACCCTTAAGGTCTATCAGGATAGATTTTCCTCCATCTTGGAAAGTTTGGAAAACTTTTTAAAAACGTCTTCTCATAAATCATAACAACACCAAAAGTGGTATGCAGGCCCATGGTACATATCTTAACTTAGTTTGAGAAAAGCTAAGGGAATGGTTAAGAGAGGGCTGAGTTATTGATAAATCAGGAAATCTGATTTTACGGGTCCATATAAATCCTTTGTACCCCTAATAATATATGTATTTTATATAGCGCTTATTAGCGCTTATCAACTTGAAAGGGTCAGCAAAGACATTAGCATGATGAACCATGTTAACTTTAGCATTAATATCGGAAAAAATAAGGAAACTATTAATAAATAAATAAAATTACTATGTAACGCAAAAAAATCTTTTCATGGACTAAAAGTCAGATTCACTCCAAATGTGGTATTTGGACTCATCACAATAGTCCCTAAAGAGTTTGAAAATAACGTTGATGTATTCAAAGATGGCCACACCGTATCAGTAGATGCATATTAGCACATACGCTAATATGCTAAAATATGCAAAAAATACTTTAAAAATCTTCTTCTCATGAACCATAGGACCAAATGACACCCAAATGTGGAATGTAGGCCCATGGTACATGTCTTACCCTAGATTGAAAAAGCTAAGCTAAGTGATTGGTCAAAAGATGGCTGAGTTATTGAAAAATCAAAAATCAGATTTTACGTGTCCATTTAAACCACTGTAAATCCACTCCACAGTGGCCTATCACCTTGAAACGTGTCATCGCTATCATGGACATCCCTAAAATGAACCACGCTGAATTTGGTATTGATATTCATATTTAACACTAATGCTCAAAATAATCTTCCCCTCATGAACCATGTGTCAGATTCACTCCAGATTTTGTATTTAGATTCATATGATTGCACATAAAGGAGGATAGTTCCTGCATGATATAGTGCTTGCTTTGTTATCCAACTGATCTTGTGTCCTTTCTGTCATCCTGTGAACTCCGTTCATTGCTGCTCGCAGCTATATTTATTATTATTATTATTATTATTATTATTATTATTATTATTATTATTATTATTATTATTATTATTATTATCATAGGGCCTGTGTAGAAATACATAGAATACATACATACATATAATCTAATATCATATTCCTGAGAGACAATTGCATTTCACATCAGTGTTTACAGGTGCCGATTCTGCCTGTACACTCAAAACAAATGAGTTATGTGTAAATCCACATTTAAATTAAGTGAGTGACAGCCTATGTGTAGGCTATGCTTGTGTAAGTAAGTGGCTCAGATACGTCACAGCCTCTGGAGCTGTAGGCCATGTACAAACTTCATGACTGAGTGACAACCCACAATATTGTGTGGACATCTTGATGTAAAGGTCTTCTTTGTGTTTGTAAGCTGATGAAACATACTGTCACTATTCACTAGGGAACTGGAATGTAGATCCTTATCAGAATCACCAGACAGGAATGCTCCTTCTACACATTCCAATAAGTTATGAATCTCAGATATCACGTTGTGTTGGAGTTATTTCAGATGTTTTACCTAGTTTATGTCTTGTCACACCTTACGTCACACCTACCCACTCACATATATGACAAACCTCTCTGTTATGTATGGTATTATTGTCCAAAAAGATTGATCTTTCATCAGGAGATAACTGGTTGAGAAGCACCACAGTCAGTATGTGGACTGACACATGGTGTAGCTATCACTTTGGCCTTGTCATGACTTGCCCCTGTCATACCTGAGTTTTATGGTGTTTGGTGGGGGGAGTTGGGGGCTCAAGTGAGCGTGAGTCATACTCCCAAGACAAACCACAGCAATATGCCAGGGAACAGCCGCTCAGCGCAGGCCTCCATATGCATGCAGCATCACTGCTGTGACAGGATGATTGATGAGGAGGTGTGTCATAAGAATATAGGCGGAGCATCAGGGATGTTTCAAATTCTACATCACAAACTCACCTCGTGCTGCTACCATTTCAGAGAAGAAGAGTGAAGAGGGGACAGGATTTGGGTTTTTGAGATGGATTTGTACAACATATATGGCAATCTTCTGGAGACCTGGGTGACTGAAGGCCCCCAGGAGAGAGTAGCTCTGGAGGGCCAGTGGGAAGGGGGTGACTCTGGAGATTCCCTCACGCTTTCAGGGACCACTTTCATGTCTAAATCTGACGTGGGGACACTGATGCGGTCTGATACAGAGGATTCAGGGGTGGAGATCTGTTCTGAGGCTTCTCTCTCCTCCTCTCCTCCCTCTGTGTCCATGGATAATACAGATATTGATCCTACAGTCAGGGAAGAGGATGGACTCCCCTCTACCTCTCCTCCGTGCTCTCCTGTCCTCTCTCTGACATATTCCTCCTCCTCTTCCTCCCTGTCCCTCTGCCCCAGGGCTCAGCGGCACAGGGAGCTGGCCGCGGTCATGCACCTAAAAGTGGAGCAGGCACTGAGGAGGGCATACTCTGGAGACAGAGACAATGTGCCCCGACAGCGGTGTCACACCGCTTCACTACCGTCACCTCACTCAGTGACCCATATCCAGAGGGCAGGTCACAGGTCAGGGAGCATTGGTCTGAGGAGGACAGTCAGCCAGTCAGTAGTGGACAAACAGGCCTCAACAGATCTGCTGCAGCACAGAGGAGGCTTCTCCCCACATCACAAGACACTGCCTGCTCAGACAGAAACAGAGGTGGGTTTATATTGAAAGGAGTTGTTTACTTAAATCTTATGATTCTCTGACTGTTTTCTTGTCTTCAAAGTAATAGCGATTCAGGGTGTTGGGCCAGTAACTGAAAGGCCCCTAGCGGACTAGGTGAAAAATCTGTCGATGTGCCCTTGAGCAAGGCACTTAACCCTAATTGCTCCTGTAAGTTGATCTGGATACTAGCGTCTGCTAAATGACAAAAATGTAAATGTAAATCTAGAGTTTGGGACTAGACAGTGTGATCCATAGTGTTTAGTTTTTTTCTCCAAAATCTCAGTCATCTGATAGTTTTGTTTGGCATTCTTTTCCTCTTCTTGGTTTGTATGGAACATTTTCAGTAGTCATTTGAAAGATTATTCGCAAATGTATTGAACATACATTAGAATCGGATTGTTATCACTGTTGTTGTTATGACATATGTTATTACGTAATTACACAATATGCCGGACGGAAGTCCATTGTCATGTTCAAGCAGTATACTGAGCATAAATCGTTTCATGTCTTTTTTTTACAATGAACTGAAGGAATGTCAGGGAGGAAATTAGCTTTTTACCATTACCACAGTTAACAGTTGCAACACACACACACACACACACACACACACAGTTAGACACACAGAAAGACAAACTAATTGCATCGACTGAATCACTGTCGTGTCTGTAGGTTATCATCTTTCAAATATGTTCGCTTTATTTAGGAACTGAGTCAGGCTTTTAACTTACTGCTGCTGAGAGTTGTAATAGTAGAATGAATGCACAAGGTTCAATTTTGAAATTTGGTAGTGCATGGGCAGTTTTCCTCTTATTGTCATTCACTGACAGACCTTAGAGAGCTATTTTAAACCTGTCAGATGAGAAATGTCCAGTTGATCAATTGGTGGCCATGTTAGCTAGATAGGTAAGTTAGGCTAACCAGCTATCTAAATATTGTAGTTATCATGACAAGATTACGTGCTCAGGGGCTTCGACCCCCTAGGGTGCCCCCATTGATTTTGTTGAGTCACTCGGGTACCATAACACACATAAGACATGGCAAAATGTGTAGAATTGCAGGAAATTAGGTTTAAAATTGCAAAATTTTCTATCAGCCTCATGGCAAAATGTGTAGAATTGCAGGGAATGATCTTTAAAATGGCAACATTTTCTCTCCGCCAACAAGAAGGGTGGGAACAGTTTGAACAATTTGGGGTTGCATGGGTCACCAAGTGGGGTTTGTTACTACGCCGATAAATAACAGTATCCATCCGGAGCTTTGCCATCTAGCAAATACAGTATGTGTACCCCTGTTGTAGTGTGTCAGACAGTGAACCAGTCTGTGAACCAGTCTGTCCAGGTGAGCAACAGGCATGAGTGGAATGGAGCCAAGCTGGTGTGGTGCTTCCTGGACAGATGGAGTGTGTGGGTATTGTGTTGAGCAGTCTGCTGTGTTGTTGATAAGACTGTGACGGACATGTCGCGCTTCTGCGTCAGATGTTCGAAGCGACGGCAGTCCCATTGGGGAAAAGTTATTTACTAATTTTATTTTTTATTTTTATCATCGTTAGACAAATTATCAGTTTTCTGCACCAAGGATTCCTCTTTGTAATGTTATTATCCAGTGGTCATGTAGAGTGTTGACAATGTTTGGTGTAATGAAGCAGAGAGATGTTTGTGTTTCATGTTTGCCACAGTTGTACAGGAACATTAAGTCTTATTAAATGGGGATATTAGTCTTTGCTCTCGGCAGGACACAGAGACAGGGTGCTGAGTGTTTATGAGGAAGGCAAAGGCCAGTTAAAGGCCACCTCATTAGCTTAGCTCTCTTTGGGGAAGATATGTATTTCCTGCTCCTAATGACGGAGCACTTTATGTATTTTGTATTTATTAAGGATCCCCATTAGTACCTGCCAAGGCAGCAGCTACTCTTCCTGGGTCCAGCAAAATTAAGGCAGTTATACAATTTAAAACATTACAATACATTCACAACACATTAAGTGTGTGCCCTCAGGCCACTACTCTACTACCACATATCTACAACACAAGTTGATTGCTGATTAGTTACTAATAAGCAATGAAAATATCAGGTCTGCTGCCCCAGAAGTCATAGCATTAGATTGCTATTCTATTCAGAGCAATAAATGTTTTGTGAAGTAATATGCCAGAGTTAATTTACTGTATACTTTTCCATGTGCACTGTTATCTTCCTTGTGTAAGTCTCTGCATGTGTCGTCTTTACAGATCAGGGAGAAGGATGTGTGTGAGGAGGAGTATGAGGGGCTCACCCCTGGGCTGGGCTACCTGAAGCAGGTATGCCGGATGCTGGAGGAGATCGCCAGGCTACAGATACGTAACCAAGGGTTACAGGTGGAGATGGATGCTCTCCGGGAGCAGCAGGGGAGACAGGTAAAAAGATATGTTGACATTTGGCATCTCATGTGTAAATAGAGAATTATGTGGATGAAGCTATATACAAGTCAATATTTGACTATATTTACTGTGAGCATTGACACAGTCAGTGTAACAGGTAATTAACAACATTTGACTTGATGTTTCTATCCATATAGAATTCAGAACGCAACCAGTGTGACTTCAAGGCTTCTGAGGAAGGCAGCCCCTCTGCCAATGAAAGACTTGAAGTCAAAGATTATGAGGACTTACCCTACCAATCATCTCAAAACAATAGTAACGTGCATCAGCATTTTCGACGGAGGTCAGCATCGGACACAACACTTATGATGGGACATCTAAGTGAGTGACCATCCAATGTTACTTCCCACAGTGTACACTGTGAAATACTGTGTCATCATTGGTGTATTTGGGTTGAAACTGAAGGTTATGAATTGTGTGTGTTTTAGAGAAGGTGAAGGAAGTGTCTGGAGGGAGGTACCTGTGTCTAGAGGATCTGCTTGAGCAGCCCGGGGATGATGAAAACCAGGTAAGATGACGTAAACTAAACTAAAATGCACACACACACACACACACACACACACACACAATCATGCATGTACAGTTGAAGTCGGAAGTTTACATACACCTTAGCCAAATACATTTAAACTCAGTTTTTCACAATTCCTGTAATTTAATCCTAATAAAAATTCCCTGTCTTAGGTCAGTTAGGATAACCACTTTATTTTACGAATGTGAAATGTCAGAATAATAGTAGAGAGAAAGATTTATTTCAGCTTTTATTTCTTTCATCACAGTCCCAGTGGGTCAGAAGTTTATATACACTCAATTATTATTTGGTAGCACTGCCTTTAAATTGGTTAACTTGGGTCAAACGTTTCGGGTAGCCTTCCACAAGCTTCCCACAATAAGTTGGGTGAATTTTGGCCCATTCCTCCTGACAGAGCTGGTGTAACTGAGTCAGGTTTGTAGGCCTCCTTGCTCGCACACGCTTTTTCAGTTCTGGCCATACATTTTCTGTAGGATGGGGTCAGGGCTTTGTGATGGCCACTCCAATACCTTGACTTTGTTGTCCTTAAGCCATTTTGCCACAACTTTGGAAGTGTGCTTGGGGTCATTGTCCATTTGCAAGACCCATTTGCGACCAAGCTTTAACTTCCTGACTGATGTCTTGAGATGTTGCTTCAATATATCCACATAATTGTCCTTCCTCATGATGCCATCTATTTTGTGAAGTGCACCAGTCCTTCCTGCAGCAAAGCACCCCCACAGCATGATGCTGCCACCCCGTGCTTCACGGTTCGGATGGTGTTCTTCGGCTTGCAAGTCCCCCTTTTTACACCAAACATAACGATGGTCATTATGGCCAAACAGTTCTAATTTTTGTTTAATCAGACCAGAGGACATTTCTCCAAAAAGTACGATCTTTGTCCCCATGTGTAGTTGCAAACCGTAGTCTGGCTTTTTTATGGCGGTTGTGGAGCAGTAGCTTCTTCCTTGCTGAGCAGCCTTTCATGTTATGTCGATATAGGACTCGTTTTACTGTGGATATAGATACTTTTGTACCTGTTTCCTCCAGCATCTTCACAAGGTCCTTTGCTGTTGTTCTGGGATTGATTTGCACTTCATCTCTAGGAGACAGAACGCGTCTCCTTCCTGAGCGGTATGACGGCTGCGTGGTCCCATGGTGTTTATACTTGCGTACTATTGTTTGTACAGATGAAAGTGGTACCTTCAGGCGTTTGGAAATTGCTCCCAAGGATGAACCAGATTTGTGGAGGTCTACAATTTCTTTTCTGAGGTCTTGGCTAATTTTTCTTTTCTTTTTCCCATGATGTCAAGCAAAGAGGCACTGAGTTTGAAGGTAGGCCTTGAAATACATCCACAGGTACACCTCCAATTGACTCAATGAGAATCAGAAGCTTCTAAAGCCATGACATCATTTTCTGGAATTTTCCAAGCTGTTTAAAGGCTGAGTCAACTTAGTGTATGTAAACTTCTAACCCACTGGAATTGTGATACAGTGAATTATAAGTGAAATAATCTGTCTGTAAACAATTGTTTGAAAAATGACTTGTGTCATGCACAAAGTAGATGTCCTAACCGACTTGCCAAAACTATAGTTTGTTAACAAGAAATGTGTGGAGTGGTTTAAAAACGAGTTTTAATGACTCCAACCTAAGTGTATGTAAACTTCTGACTTCAACTGTATGCACGAACACACAAACACACACACAAACACAAGCATGCACACACACACACACTTACTCATATTGTACACACACTTAAATAGACACAAATATTTAAGCTGTATTTCTGTATTTGCGTGTGTTGTTAGATGCATGCAAACTTATGGTAGAGTATGTCTGTGTGAAAGTATGCTTGTATGCTTGTGCCTATGTGTAAATGTTTTTGGAATGAGTCTGCATCAATGTCTCTGTTGACAAATATCTACAGTATGTTTCTCTCCAGGAGAAACAAGAAACAAGAAACAAAAAACAGGGAAGTAGGACACAGACTTGGAAGCTGAAGATTGGCTCTCTGAGGAGGGGGGAGACCACAGAGAAAACCAGGTGAGACAACATCGACACCTAGAGGACAGTGTGTGTGTTGTCATACTATGCATGATGCTCTTATAAAATGTCCATGGCTGCTCTAACATGGCAGCCAAATGGGAATGATGCACTGTTGCATAGATAATGCACAGTGTGCTGAGGAGATGTGGAGAGCATATATTTAGCCTAGGCATCTGTTCATGAAAATTCACTCTGACTCATCCCAAATGGCCTCTTTGTTTACAATCACACATACAGTAGGCTTACTGTCAGTGGCTTACCTCAGTTTCACGAGGCCCCCCGCAAGGTCTCTCTTCCCAACCCCCCCCCCAAAATATAAAATTTTAGGACTTGGGGCAGAGATAAAAATGTGCAGTTTTATAACTTATCTCATGCTATTCTACACATTTTGCCATGAGGCAGAGAGAAAATGTTGCAGTTTTAAAACATAATTCCTGTTTTTCTAAACATTTTGCCATGGCTTATGACGTGTTCATATGCTATCTGGGGGGGGGGGGGGGACCAGTGCTTGGGGCTGCGGGGGTGTGTGGTACACCAGTGCTCACTGTACATTTAAGGAATTATGTTGTAAGACTTAAATATTCCTTCCGTGCAATCTTTAATGGTTCTGGTGCATGATTTTTCTTTCACATAAAGCCAACAGATTAATTCATCCGTGAAGAAAGCTAGCGGGCGATGGTTGGGACAGCTGTTCAGGAGAAGGAAAACTGTGCCAGAATGAGAAGAGCAGAATGTTCCAACATTACAGTCATTGGTAATGTTCCTCCTCTAAGACGTACATACTGTAGCACTTTAATACAAAGCTGTGGATGCACAGGACTCAAATCTATTTAGTCATCTCATTATATGGATATTGACATGTATATTTATTGTCTGCTTCTACATTTGTAGTTATTTATCCTCAGGTACCATAATATTTTAATATTGCAATTATATGTAGCTAATGTGTATTTATGTTTCTTTGATGTCCGTCAATACAGTAGCTAGTGAAAGTCTAGACACCCCTTGCACAGTTTTCACATTTTGCTGCCTTAAAATTAAATCTAAAAAGGGATTCAATTATATTTTTTCCCTACTAATCTACACAACCTACTACACATTTACTGGTTGTAGATGTGTCCGTAAACCAGAATACACATTTGTTGCTGGGATTTACTGCCCCCCATGCCCCCACGGCTGTGAAAAACCCTGATAAATCCTCATTGATTAATTGAATTCTTACTAACAACCCCATAAATATTTTTCTATTGGAGTATTTGAATATGATATCAGTGATCATTGTCCCATAGTATGTATTAGAGATACCAAACAGAAAAATACTAATCCTTGTTTAACTAAGAAGATACATTTTAAAACGTTATACTCAAGGGTTTTTACATTACATGTTCTACTTCGATTTAGCCACTGTCTCCTGTATTCCTGACCCTGAGTTGGCTCTAGAAAATGTCTCCTCCATATTTTTTCACTCCATATACACACCCCTTTTAAACAATTCAGAGTCAAAGATAGATATAACCCTTGGTTTTCTTCTGAGCTATCTGAGCTCATTCAGATGACAAATCAGGCCTAGGCCAAGGCAAGGAAAACTGAAAGGTGGACTGGCAATCTTTCAGACAACTGAGAAACAGATGTACTGTCTCAATTAAGAAAGCTATATTGAACAAAAATATAAACGCAACATGTAAAGTCTTGGTCCCATTGTTTATGAGCTGAAATAAAAGATCCAATCAAATGTTGTGCACAAATCTGTTTACATCCCTGTTAGTGAGCATTTCTCCTTTGCCAAGATAATCCATCCACCTGACAAGAGTGGCATATCAAGAAGCTGATTAAACAGCATGATCCTTACACAGGTGCACCTTGTGCTGGGGCAATAAAAGGTTACTCTAAAATATGCAGTTTTGTCACACAGCACAATGCCACAGATGTCTCAAGTTTTGAGGGAGTATGCAATTGGCATGCTGACTGCAGGAATGTCCAACAGAGCTGTTGCCAGAGAATTGAATGTTAATTGCTCTACCATAAGCCGCCTTCAACATCGTTTTAGAGAATTTGGCAGGACATCCAACTGGCCTCACAACCGCAGACCACGTGTAACCACGCTAGCCCAGGACCTCCACATCCGGCTTCTTCACCTCATCTGAGGAGGGGGAGGGGAGTGCTGGGGAGTATTTCTGTCTGTAATAAAGCCATTTTGTGGGGAAAATAATGAATTCTGAATGGCTTGGTCTGGCTTTCCAGTGGGTGGACCTGGCTCCCAAGTGGGTGGGCCTATGCCCACCCAGGCCCACCCATGGCTGTGCCCCTGCCCAGTCATGTGAAATCCATAGATTAGGGCCTATTGAATTTCTTTCATTTGACTGATTTCCTTCTATGAACTGTAACTCAGTAAAATCTTTGAAATTGTTGCATGTTGTGTTTATATTTTTGTTCAGTATAAATCAAGCTACTTTTTAAGCTCTGTCTCTGAATTTTGGAAAACAGTAAATGCACTGAAGCGTACAAATTCCTCTTCATCCCTGCCTAAGCAAGTTCTGTCTGACTGGCATTATAACTGAGAAGAATGGGATAAGTAATGCTTTTAATCATCATTTTATCTCGGCAGGCTTTTTATTTGAGAGAAATGGTGGTTTAACTGACCCTGGTCAGTCAATCGACTGCTCTTCGCTCTGCCAGCCTCTCGCTGACGTGACGGTTAACCCATCAACTTCTAGTTAATCTTTGTTTTCATTTAAACAATTTACTACCTGTGATGTGCAAGATGCCTTTCTTACAATTGATGTAAAACGAATCCACTAGGGCTGATATGCTTGATCCATTTTTGCTGCAGCTCTCTGCCCCCCTGATTGTGGAATCATTAACCCATATTTTTAACCTGACGTATATATCTGGTACTATCCACAAGGTTTGGAAGGCGGCCCATGTACTCCCCCTTCACAAAGGTGGTGACCCTTGTGACCTAAATAATTATCGCCCTATTTCTAAACTTTCTTGCCTAGTTAAAATATTAGAATCCTTGATTAATTCTCAGCTAAGATCTTTCTTATCTTTGAAATGTATTCTAAATGTACATCAGTCAGGTTTTAGACCAGGTCATAGCACTATCTCTGCTGCATCCCTAGTTATTTAAGATTTACATTTTAGTCATTTAGCAGATGCTTTTATCCAGAGTGACATACAAGAGCAATTAGGGTTAAGTGCCTTGCTCAACGGCACATCGCCAGATTTTTTGGGAATTCTTAACCGCTAGGCTACCTGCCGCCCCATTAGTTAGTTAAAAATTATGTGGTTAAAAGGCAACATTGTGCTGCCCCCTTCATTGACCTGTCAAAGGCCTTCGATACTGTTGATCACTCACTGCTAATTCAGAGGTTTTCCTCAATTGGCCTAGACCAGGCTGCATGTAACTGGTTTACAAATTACTTGACAGATAAAACTCAATGTATATCTACTGATGGTGTTAAATCAGGTTTTCTGGACATAACGAAAGGTGTCCCACAGGGGTCGATTCTGGGTCCTGTACTTTTTACTGTTTATATTAACAATATTGACTTGTCTGTAAAAAATAAATAACCTGCACTTGTATGCCAATGATACTGTTGTGTATGCTATTGCCCCACCGGTTGACCAGGCTCTATCTGAACTACAGTCTGCCTTCATTGTATTACAGAAAAACTTTATTGACCTGACATTAGTATTGAATGCAGGTAAAACTAAGAAATAGGTCATGCCTCTCGGTAAATAGTAGAAAGCAGATTATTCAGTCGACGTTCCTATTGGTCCTAGACTATGATGACCTCATCTACAGTATATGAACGCAACTGCCAATTCATTAAAGCCATTAGATGCAGTATACTGTAGCTGCACTGCACTTGTATGAAGAAAGTCACTGCATTCTCTAACAAAAAGTTGGTTGACCCTCTTTGATGTCACGTAGGTTGATACATTGCTATGTTTTCATTTATAAAGCCCTTTTACAAAAACTCCCACTGTACCTAACATCATTAGTAAACTTTAGATATGAGAGTTAATGTGTTTGTTTTTATTGACAGTGTTTTCTTTCAGCTTGCATTTTGTATTTCTATTTTGATGTGTGTATTTTCTGTAATTTCTGTAGTTCAGGGCTCATTTGTAAAATACACCTTGGTCTCAGTATGACTTCCTGATAAAATAAAGGTTGAATAAATACAAATAAAAAACATTTTCAAAGTCAAAGAACATTTTTAGAAAATTTTCCAAATTAATAGAAAATGAAGATGTATTGATTGTTTATGTCTTCACACCCCATAGTTAATACTTGGTGGAAGCACCTTTGGCAGGCAAGGATGCTGGCCCATGTTGACTCCAATGCTTCCCACAGTTGTGTCAAGTTGGATGGATGTCCTTTGGGTGGTGGACCATTCTTGATACATACGGGAAACTGTTGAGCATGAAAAACCCAGCAGCGTTGCATTTCTTGACACAAACCGGTGCGCCTGGCACCTACTACCATACCCCATTCAAAGGCACTTAAATATTTTGTCTTGCCCATTCACCCTATTTACATTTAAATTTTAGTCATTTAGCAGACACTCTTATCCAGAGCGACTTACAGTTAGTGAGTGCATACATTATTATTTTTTTTCATACTGGAATCGAACCCACAACCCTGGCGTTGCAAATGCCATGCTCTACCAACTGAGCTACATCCCTGCCGGCCATTCCCTCCCCTACCCTGGACGACGCTGGGCCAATTGTGCGCCGCCCCATGGGCGCACATACACAATCCATGTCTCAATTGTCTCAAGGCTTAAAAATCCTTCTTTAACCCATCTCTTCCCCTTCATGTACACTGATTTAAGTGAATTTAACAAGTGACATCAATAACAGAACATAGCTTTCACCTGGATTCACCTGGTCAGTCTATGTCATGGAAAGAGCAGGTGTCCTTAATGTTTTGTACACTCAGTGTATTTCACCACTTTTCCACGTCTGTCTGGATCCCCACGTCTGCAAAAGGATGATTATTTTCACCTTTGGTTTCTAGTCTTTTTTAAAGGGCCAGTGCAGTCAAAACGTGATTTATATAGATTTATATATATATTTCCACACTGAGGTTGGAATAATACTGTGAAATTGTGATACTGTTTGAAAATACCACTTGAAACTTCAGCCTGTTTTGTTAGGAGGGAGTTGTGGCCTTCCATGGTGACATCAACATGTGGTAAATTAGTTAATAGACCAATTAGAAAGAGAGTTCCAAACATCTCTGCCAATAACAGTAAATTTTCAGTTTTCCACTCCCAGACCGTCCTAGCAAAATTCTTGCTTGAGAAATTGCTCTTAGCTAAGAAGCTATTTAGGTTTCTTTTTGACCATTTTAATTAAAAACAATAACAGTATGGTACTTAATTGTTGCCCAGAAATGATTTGATATTGAGATAAAAACGGCTGCTTTGGACCTTTAAGGAAACCAAAATACTGTTCTGTGCTGCTATGCCCTGTACCAAGATATGAAACATACTTTGATTAGATCTTCATTGCAACAAACTATATCAGTACCCAATTTATGAGATTTGAGACATTTGTGAATGCAACCGTAACAGAGATTTCTTCATCCTTACTGGATCTTGATTGAAGCCTTGATCGAATTTATGCTCCTTTTATTGAATCTCCACTCCATGACTACCCCAGTTGTTATGCATTTGATCATTTCCAGGAAAATAAAATCTTCCATGAGAA